CCGATGAAACTGCATCCTATTTCCGAAGGTGTATCTTTCCTACAACAATGTATCGTTTGTTCGCTGTTGCCTCTAAATCCAATTCGCTAACTTTCTGCCAACGAAACCTTTTGTTAATGAATTTGGCATATGAAGAGATGGATACCGTTTTGGCGGTAGTGGATATCAACGGTTAATTGTGGCGCAATTTATATTTCTGCTTTATTTCATCATTCCGGCTTTTATTTTATTTTATCATTCCGGTAGGTTTCTCTCTAAAGCGAGAAGACTTTCGGAAACAAAGTGAAGCGAAATTGTTTTCGAAATTTCCGGAAACTTGGATTTACCTCAGTAATTTCATTAGCAACGACGATTTCCCTGCAGATGATGGTGGAGTATTTGTGATTCTTTGCATTCTTTGCATTGACTCATCCATTACTCTTCCACTGCTATCCATTTCCACCTCCATAAAGCTCAAACACAACTTTTCCAAGTGGACCATATCAATGGACATATCTTTCCTTTCGTCCTCCTTGCCCACCTGCAAACTTAACTTTACCTGTTGCATCTCATAATATTCCATTTTAGAGCACTCCATCATTCATCTTCTATTTATTTTTTCATTTGAACGATAGGTCAAAATATTGTTTTTGACAGAAGAGTTGAGAAAAATCCTGGTAATTCCAGAGAAATCATGAAATATTTGCGATCGGAAAATAGATTAAAAAAGATTTCATTCAAAGAAATATTATCCATATGCTAAGACACTTTGAACGGAATGTTTTCGAGCTGCCTGAATTTCATAGTTGTGATTGCATAGCATCAACCATGCTGTTGTCACCCTCTCTTAATGTCATGTGGATATGAAATTTAACTTAGCAATTCAAGACGCTTCGGGGGATTGTTTCCATAAATTACTTTAATCAATAATAGGGACAAATTAATGTTGTGAAAAATGTAATGAGAGGCAGACGTTAATCATTGATGAGATTCATAGCGCTGCTGGAATAGCCGTCCCTGTGAGTGGGAATGGAGTAGTACTTGATTGGTGACATCGAGGATGCATACAATGAAGACTTCAATCAATGGTTCCATACTCCTTTTCACACAGCAAGATATCATTTTGAGTAAATAGATCATCTCTTTGTGCTACACAACATGGAATATTATAATTCTTCCCTCTTCCATCACCTTCTTTCCTTTTTTGTTTTCTACTGAGGTAATCACCGAAACTCAACGTCTTCTGATACATCTCGGAATCTCACACACCTCAGTATGTTATGGTTGTGCTTTGTCGTATGTTTTCTAAAGCTCATATTAGTCTTTTATGCTCTTCCAAACGTAATATGCTTGGATATTTCATAGAATGCTTGCAATCATTGATGGGAATAAAAGTTGAAGAAATTGAAACAGTGAAGAATCGAACCCATTTAGGAGAAGGTCTCATCTTTGTATTTTTTTCACATTTCTAACTCTAATTATGGACGACCTTTGAAGGTCAATAAGTTTTTTTTCTTGAAGAAATTAGTGTAATTTTCATTTTTACTATTTATGAAAGTGTAACCTGAAAATTATGAAAATCGTTTGGAAATAAGAAACATCCCGTATGCAAATATAAGTACTGCTTTGCAATGCAGTATACCTTAGATGCCGTGAAGATGCAATCAGTTTTAGTCGCGCAAGGCCTACCAAATGGTCCGTGATACAAAGGGACCATAAATTATTGATGCAACTTTCTTCCGGTCAACTGTAGTTGGAATAAACGAACAAGAACTGGCAACAAATATCCAGGAATAGATGGGCCTTGTTTTAAGTTGAATAATACCGAAAACATGTATCGCTCTGAATAACAAACTATTTTGAAGACTTTATCTGTTCATTCTTCTTTAGGAAATATTCAAAAAGCCAATATTACTCCAAACGTTGGAATCAAATTTATATTCAGATGGCTGGTTGGAAGAAATATGCACGAATAATTTTGCCCCATGTCGGTTTGATTATCTTGTCGTTGTTGTACACCATTGGTGGTGCACTTGCTTTCTATCATTTGGAACGACCCTATGAGATTGCGGTGAGACGTGAAAGCTTGAGAGATATTTCTGCTCACAGAAAATTGATGCTTGACGAATTATGGGTTATGTTAAACGATGAATCAATCTCAGATGGTATGGACAATATTTTAATAAATGAAGGATGACGGAGTTATTCCGTCATTCAAATATAAAACTTAGGAATGCGAGAACTTTGGATTCAGAGAAATGATCAATCCAATTAAAATACTTAAATAAAGTTGGCAAGTTATTATATTGCCCGCTCGCACTTACTGATTAGCGATAGCATTTGGCATTAACTTGGTCATGTTATGCAATATGTAAATGTTATCTATCAACTGTTTATAAATCGCTGATTCTTTACAGAGGAAATTGAGCGTTTAGCTATCCATCACGTGGACAACGTGACACGAGTACTGTTTGAAGCCTTTGAGACACATTACATTAGTGCATCTCATCTACGAAGTAACACTGCGACGGCTTCAGTTGATGATTTCGTGGAGGAAGAAGAATATAGCTGGACCTTCACGACAGCTCTCTTCTTCACAGCTACTCTTCTGACAACAATTGGTAAAATTTCGTAATCACTTTTGCAAACTTGTGTCAGTCATCGTGCTTGGCTTATTTTCATTTATTTCAGGCTATGGTAACTTGGTGCCGGTAACATTTCAAGGACGCATGTTTTGCATCGTCTATGCTCTGTTCGGTGTACCGCTTATACTTATCACTGTTGCTGATATCGGCAAATTCTTGAGTGAAAATATTGTTTGGCTCTATGCAAAGTATGTACGCACGCTTGAATGACTTAAAAGGCGGGATAGATCTCTTCGATTCCTAAAGATGGACAGTGACTTGTAGAGAGGTAAATCCCGAAGATGACACTCTTCACTGAAGACTAATATATAATATGAATATGAATATATGCAGATATGCAGAAATGAAAAGAATGTACAGAGAGAAGAAAACTGTGTGTATCACATCAGTGGTCGGTGAAATAAGTGGTACTGCGAAGGAACAACTGCTGCAGGTGGGTTTTACCGTTTAGTAAGAAGCAATAATTGAATCGTACTTCATTTCGCGACAATTGTAGTTCGGATTGGAACAGTATATCTCGATACCGATCCTGTTGATCGTTGGAATGCTACTTGGTTACATCACAGTTGGTGCTATCTTGCTTGCTTCGTGGGAACAATGGGATTTCTTTTCTGGTTTTTACTTCTCATTTATTACTATGACTACGGTTAGTTTATCATTTCGATTACTGGATTTGTTGCTTGATTTTGTACGTTTTCCATATCACATCAGGCTCCCACTTATGATAGAAATTGCTCATTTTAGCAAACAAAAAGACGGAGAACCGTAAAGTAAGACGACATTGGAATTTCTAAGAATGTTTCGATTTTGAAAAATCGGTCATCTCGGTCCTGATATTTTTCGATTATACAAATCCTGCTTCCTCTTTGCTCAGCTGGAAAATTTCGAAATTCCAATTTACTCTTTTGTTTAAGTCTTGTTAAGCCAAGTCAGGTTTGCTTCCAGGTTGGATTTGGCGATATCGTACCAATCAAACAAGAATACTTCTTATTCGACCTTTTCTACATTGTTGTTGGGCTAGCCATAACGTTCGTTTGTCTGGTTATGTTTTTTCGGTTTCCAACGAATATATGATTGCCTGAAAAAAAAATGAACTTCTACAGGACGATGTGTATTGATCTGTTTGGAATCCAATATATTCGCAAGATTCATTATTTTGGACGAGCCATTAAAGATGCCCGTTATGCCCTAGTGAATGTTGGCGGAAGAATGGTACACGTCCCGGATTTAATGCGGTATGCATCCGTTTTACATCAGGTATATATTTCTGAATCGGAGAAAACATTATTCTAACCATTCTTATCAGGAATCAAGCGTCTAAGGAGTGCTAAAGTGATGACATATTAAACCAATCAAACGTGACTTTCAAATGAACTGATCTGACCTGTTTCATCATTCTAGAAGTGTCGGGAAAAGCTAATCTGTTGAATTCGTTTCTCAGCGATATAGATTTATTCGGGATGTAATATTATTCTTCACAATATTATTAACAACAAAAGGGGTGTAAAATATATATGTATATATTACACGATGAATTGATGAACAGTGATGATTTATGCAAAAAGCAAGCAATATGATCAACTAATAAATTCTTTGTCGTTGCCTTCGATAATAATTTGACTGTCGGTTAGTTGATAGGTCGTTGAATTGAGGATATGTTACGGGAAATACATTTAGCGAATAGAAAGAATATCGTAGTTTATTTTCCAGTAGTGGCGGATATGCCAAGATGTCGTTGTT